TTAATAAGCATACTCAAAAAATCCCTGTGTTCACCAGCAAATTTTATGGCATACTAAAGTTTGGCCGGATAATTTAAAAACTGTAAAACCCAGAAAACCGAAAGAGCCTGGTAACTTAAGGTATTTCTGAAAAACAACTTTTAAGGGTTATAGATGGGTTACATCATTGAAATTCTGCAACAGTTTCTCACTGTTGGGCATTTAGTCAGTTGAGATCACAGCCTTCACCTCGAGTGTTTTGTTAGTATACCCAAACTGAGAAGATTCGTCCACAGCAAAGCTCCAACTTTTTTTGGAATGGCGCACTATTTCTTAAAAACATCAAGTTCTCTCTGCTAGAACATTTGAACGAGCCTCTCCGTCGAAATCCGCCGTAAGAAAAGAGATGGCGACTGGTACATTTACCCATAACTCTTAGCGCACGGAAACTTAAACAACGTTCATAAAAACGTACTACAGAAACTTTGTAAAACCTTCAAACCTAACATGCAGAGGGACAAATACCGCAATTATCTTGCTTTCCTTGTACTTTACGGGTTGTATTAGGTTCACATAGTATTGTGCTAAAATGTACAGCCGCCATCTTTTTTCCCACGGAGGACTGAACCAAATTCAAGCATTGTTATTTCGGCAACCCTAAAACACAGAAACCAGAATTCGGAAACCGGAATCCAAAAATTAAAGAAAGCAAGTTCTTTAAATACGCGAAAGTTACTTTGCATAGCTTTTGCCTGTTAAAATCAAGAGGTCAAGTAAAAAAGAACTCAAACTTAACCCTTTTTGGAACGAAGATTCCCCGTCTGTCCAAGTTCGTGCAACCGTTATTTCTAGTGAGGGATATGATTATGAGAATCTAACTAGCGTGCGTCCTAATTTTATTCTAAGCACCCTGACAGCGTCTAAAATAGGCTTGCTAGTAATTGCCATTTTGTTTAATAAGTGATCTGCAATTTACCTGAGGTATAAATTTGGCCTTTATGTCTAGTAGATGGGGGGATGGCCTTACCTTCAGAAACAACTTATTGACTTCTGTACTCAATAGTGGACATAACAATTTGTCCGCTGCGTGTTTTGGTATACATGAAGTAGCTAGGCAAAATAATATTCATGATTATAAAATAAGTGAGATATTGCGCACTCTCATTGGTCAAATTATAGGCCAGGGCGCATTCCGCAGAAATTCCATGCGGAAGATACTCGAGGCTTTTCAAATTCCACACCATGTACCTGGCAAGTGGCCAAGGACCCATGCCAAAGAATACTATTTAAAAACGCCAAACCAACATAGATGGGAAAATTTGGCTCAAATGGAACATACAAGATGCCTGTTATCGGCCAGGATATGGGGTATAAAGAGAAGTTAAGAAGCCATAGTTATTGTGCCAATTCTCCTTGCGTAGCTTAGTGTTTATACACCAGCACCAACAAATATAAATGTCCATATGCCAAAAACTCTTAACTGCATGCAGGTACACCACAGAAATTTTTAGGCCACACCAAAGATCTTCAGCTTAACCTACACTGAATGCACCCTGGTCAATAGGTGGTGTTTAATAGATGAGGGTTAGGTTTACAAACATGGCTGTGACATTTTAGATTTGCAAGTATTTTTGAGGAATATTTTATAAAAGCACTTGTCCAGGAGTACTTTTTCTGTGTATATATAGCCTCATCTAAACACTTTTGGGGGCTGGGAGAATTTTCGAAAGTTATGCAAAACCTTGATTTGTAACTGTTTTTAATTCTCGGAACCCCCCTCATGTTTGTGTATGTACATGTAAACATGGAAAGTGCTCTGATGCTCAATTCAGTAATAATTAGATTACTTAAATGCTTGTAAACATTATCAAACATTTCCCCCTTCAAACTTATTGAAAATAAGGGCTTGAAAAAGCCTTCTCAAGAAAATCAACAAACTTAACACTTTCAGAAATGTATCTTTGTTAGTGGAGTGAATAATAAATTCTGAGTTTTAGAGTGCAAAATTTTCAGCAAATACATGTACTCTGCTGTTGTGATCATGTCCAATTTATTTGGCCCAGATCTCCAATATCACTGGCAAGAATGCATTACATGTATATATTAAGTACTGCATAAAATTCTTCTGTTGACAGTTTGACGATGATTTATGATGATGGAGCAAGTCTTAAGGATTAGGAAAAAGCAATTCTACTTCATTGTATTAGGTGAGTGTAGTTTCTTCTCTAGTGTTTCAAAACACATTTCGTTTGAACTGGTAGCCTTTAAGGAGCCACGAGATAGTCCCCCTAAGGGGAATTGTATGTGAAAATGTTGGGGAAGCTTTACTGAGAATTTGAATGACACTCTTAAACAAGGCTGTTGCCTAAGGAAAATTTTAAGGGCCGTTTGGGCTCCTCACTTCAAAAGTATGGAGCCCAAGCCATTTTTTTAGGAGCCCAGGATAAAACTTGCTGTGGCCAATCCTGGGGGTTTGGGGATGGAAGGAGGTTTGGAACAACTTGGTAAATTTTGGGGAGAGGCTCTGGGGGGCATCCCCTTCTCTCTCTTCTCGTGTATTTCTCTTGATAAAAGCAAAATAAGACCAGGGTAACTGTTTTCTTTTCAGTTTTGATTTTATGAGAAACATGGCTGGTCAGAATGAGCGGTTAAGCCATGTACAATCGATGACCAGTGATGGTTGGAATGCTTGTTAATGGGAATTTTTAAGCTGGTGGAACAAAGTTACAATTAGGAATTGCTTGTAAGTCCTGGTTGCCTGGGATTGAAGTCGATGGACAGATTAGATGGGAATGAAAACTCCATGTTTAGGTGCCCACTCAGGCTACTTGAACAAAAATTTAGTCACCGGCACTCCTAACTTAGGCACCTCAGGTGACCGGTGCCTGTTAGGCAGCAGCCTTGAACTTAAAGGAGACCAATCAGCTATAACTTCATAAATCAATCTTCCTTCATCATTGGTCAGCACTAAGCAAAGAGATTTCCTTTATTTACATGTATAGAACAATTTAGAGGTTATATCCTGGAGGGAATCCCATATGCAAAGGACGGGGGTGCTCGTTGTACCTTTTAGGGGTTAAAAAAGCTGTTTTGGTACTGCTTGGGGTGTTCATTCCCAAAAGGTCCACAGCGGGAGCTTTTACAGTACCTTTTAGGGTAAATTGGGCTGAAAAAAATATGACGGAAGATAGTGTCTTTAGAATTGGGACCTCTTAGGGTGAAAAAAAATTTCAAACCACGCACATAAAACAGGATCTTGGTACCTCTTAGCGGTTCTTTTCAAAATTTCCAACAAACACCCCCATCCTTTTTATATGGGTGTCAACCCCTGGGGTTATATCCTTAAAACCTGGAAGAATCCTGGAGTATCATGGTTGGGTTGAATTTGTTAAAATCATTCACAATACTTGGTGATCCTGTTACAAAATTCAAAATTGAACTCTGATTGAATTTTGGATTGCATTTTCAGCTTTTATTTACTTCCAGAACAAATAATTAACAATTCTTAACGTTTGGTACAACATACACTACTTGCTATTCCTAGGTAAGGTAAGGTAAAGTCTGCATGCGAGCCAAGTGGCCCATCAGGCCGGAGCTTATCC